TGACGATCTCTGGTCACGCACCTAATTTTAAGTTATCGGTCTTTCCTAATTGTGTCCTTAACAACTAGGCGGAAACTTCTTGGTCTTTCCTAATTGTGTCCTTAACAACTAGGCGGAACTTCTTGTCTGTCCTGTAGCGAGAACGGGCAAACCCCACCGTTCTGTGCTCTCGTCCGTATCTGTTATCGGTTATCCCTGGGGAGGTGCTAACCCCCCACCTCCACCGGTAAATTCGGTCTTTCCTAATTGTGTCCTCAACAGCTAGGCGGCTTAAATGGTATTTCCTAATTGTATCCTTAACAACTAGGCGGCTCTCTGGTTTGCTATTTTACCCACTTAAAATCGCTGGCGCCCTCCTGGTAAATTCGCGGATGCTATGGAACCGGTGAAGGTAACCAATTCCCCGGACTTACGGAACACTCCGGGGAAACATCGTTACAATTTTTAAATTTTTTGCAAGTCAAAACAAAAGAACGATTTTGAGATAATAATTGAATTAAAAATGTCTGATTTTTCAATCAAAAAGTTCATTAAAACCTTTTTCACTATTGTCGAATTTTTGATGAGTACGCTGGAACCAATGTTTCAAGCGGTGCACATTCACCAAAGCGCAGCAAACTATCTCCTGCGCTGTCTTAATGTGGCGATGAGTGTGCGGATGGGCAGTTTCTTTGAAGAAACAATTGTCGATCTTTGGACAATTGTAATCTTCTAAATTTACAACGCGGTAGGAATCGCCAAGCAGTTGTTCCACATAGCGCTGTTTCTCATAAAAGCCTTTCACATAAATTTTTCGACTATTCTGTAGAAAACTGTGAAAAACTTTGTCAATGTTCTTATCATCACAACCACCAACACTACATTGTATTCCATGATGATTACGAGTTAGCCACCTGTTGGTTATAATATCCTGCATCTCCAGATCGCTCCAGGCACGTGGTGGTTGAAAGAGGATGTTGATAGGGGGAGATTCTTCAATGTCTGGCGACTGTTGCACTGCCACTGCACTCAATTCTTTTATGATAAATTCTCCTCGATTTTGGAATCCTTGCAAATCCATGATAAATGCCATGCTG